ACTTATAAATATATTCAAAATGTAGGTAAAAAGCAAAGTTAAGTCAAACTATCTTTGTTTTAAAATGCAAATGAATTAAGTAAAGTGAAATTATATTATTTTATCAACAGGTTGAAAAAGCCATCAATTATAACAAAAAGACCAAAAATACAAATTTTTGTCTTAAATGTTATAAAAAATTAATAAAATATATATTTTTTATGTTTTGACATGTAATAAAGAAATTGGACTAAAGAAAAATAGCAAATTCTATCAAATGTTTAAAAAATATAGATTAATTATTCTTATATTAATATATTAAAATCCATATATCACAAATTAAAATATTATTAAATATATATAAAATTAGACATTTTTATTAAAGATTTTATTAATTATAAATTTTATTTATTCTTATATAAATTGTATTACAAACTTTTTTTTTTTTAATATATATTTCAATTGTTTTTAAAAATAAAATAAAATAATGTTTACATTAGATTTTAAGTTTTAATAAAAAATAATCAAAAATATTACATATTTATCAAGTTATATAAATCTATTCTAAAAATGCTTTATATTTAAATTTTTAATCAATTAAATTGATTTTGATTTATATGTAATTTAAAACCTGCATTATATTTTAAATATAACTTTTATTATTACTTATTGTTTGGATATAAAATTTTCACAATGTTAAAGATCAAAATGTTATAAATAAAATGAACAAATCATAATAATAAATTTAAAGAAAAAATTCTGTACAAATAAATATATCTTCAACCCAAGTAATAAAAATCGGTCAACATTAAAATTAGATAAAATCCAGAAATATAAAGTACCTTATGGAAATATATTTAATAATCCAAATTCAATTTAAGAATGGAAAATTTTTATAATTAGTTATTTGGGTTGAAAACATTAAAAAAAATTCAAATCAAACAAATCTTTAACAAAATTCAGAACAAAGTTGTATTGACAAACATGTACATTCGATTCATTGATTAATTTTTATCAATAATTTCCGGATTTTGATTAGTAGTTATTTGCAATACCGATTCTTTTAGGTTTTCTTAATTCTCGATACTGGTGATTTTAAACCAGTAACACCAGCAATTGCATGTCCACTAGCAGTCGCAAGTTTTGAAGGGGGCATCCTTGAAGAAGGCAATTTACTTATACCAGAAGGAGCTGCAACCATTGACATCCGGGTACCATGTTTTGATAGCCTTGTAGTAGGAGTAGCAAGCATTGAATTATAAGGAGGTATAGGAGAAGTTCCTCTACCAGGTGAGGAGCCACATGAGACAGAACTTGCTAGAGAAGTAAGGGAATCAGTTTCGGAAGCAGTAGGTGATTCCGGGGGAGAAAAAATTGGAGACGAGTATTCATCATGAGAAGACAAGCTATCAGTACTCCGACCACCATAATGCGCAAAGGATGAAGGAGCTTTAAGGACACTAGAAAGGCATTGAATACCAGAATTTGTATTTGAATACGCTGTAGTAGTTGGGATACTATTTGATCGAGATATTACGGAAGTATTATTGGGAGAATTATTTCCAACTGCAATACTTTGAGGTCGAGGTTTCTTGAGTGACGTGTTGGGTGACTCAGACAAACCGCCAAGCCGGCTCAGTGGTCGTATGGACGTTGTTGATGTAGGTGAAGCTTTAGCAATACTCGCACGGCTTGAAGGTCTTGCTGTCCCAGAATTAAGAGTGCCGTACTTAGAATTTGTTGCATTGACATTTGAAGGAGGCATACTACTTCGAATTCGATTTTGTGGTCCATTATTGGAGGATTTAGGTGTAACAGATCCAGCTCTGCTCAACGGTCGAGATCCTGGAGACACAATATGTGATGCAGAAGACCTAACTAGAACATCATCAGCAGAGCTATTACTCACACGGCTCATTGATCTTGGACGAACGCTACCTGACATAGATTGCGTCATATTATACATTGACATGTGAAATCCTCGAGTTGGAGAAGCAATCCTTGAAGGCGATGTAGCACCAACAGAAGATGTAGTGCTCTCTTCGGTAGAGCTATCACTAACAGCACTTAAAGATCTTGGTCTATGTGAAGTCGGGATAGACGAATGTGAATCAACCCTACCAGGGGTTGCAATTCTAGAATGAGAACCAATTCTGCTAGGAGAACGCAAACCGGTTACTGTTGATGGTCTTCGTATCCCTGAAGCTCCCGATTTTGCGCTACCTGCTGAACGCACAGAAGTATATGAACCATTTGACGTTGTTTCACATTCATCTGGATCTCCTACTGACGAAGCTCGAGAAGATGTAGGAGAAAGTGGTGATGGACCAAAATGAGCGCTAAATGCTGTTTTAGGTAGACCCGATGGGATGCCAGGTTTGCCACCAGAAAGAGTTGGAGCAGGTGAGGGAGCAGGTGAAGGTGAAATTGGCTTTAAAATAGGAGTGATTTGTGTGTCTAAACTCATATCAATTTCATTTATCTCATCATCATATTCTGCGCCTTTGGAATCCATCTATAAAAAAAAATGTTAAAGCATAACTTTCTTAGTAAAATATTAAGTAATCCATATAACATTAAAATACAATAGAGAAGATAAGGCTTACTTCAAATCCATTAGAATTAGAGAAATTCATAATATCATCAGCTTCTTGACCATCAACTTCAAGTGGTGTATCACTTAAATTTTCATCATCTTCAGCAATCGGTCCGGTAACATTAACTAAAGGACTCAATGTTGGAGTGCCATGCGGGTCTGGAGAAGGTCTACGTAAAGGAGAAGTTGATGGCGTAAGATGCTTTTCATACTAATACATTTATTATTTAAATAAATAAAATAAATTAAGGATAATTAAGTAATATATATGGTTTGAATACATTCACGATTTGTAATATATTGCATTATACCTCTGCAGGATCAATTTTCCAGAACTCATCGTCTCCATCATCCAAACCGTCATCATTTAGTTGTATTTCACCAGACTCCAAATCACTACCTTCAGCTATTAACGCATCCAAGTCTACGGAACAATCAGAATCTGTATCCACAGATGTTTTATTCTTTGAGCGTTTTGAATGTATGGAACTGTTATTAGGAAAAGCAAATAATAGTCACAGAATTAAATATTAATGAAATTATAGCAAAAATGAATAAGAGATTTTTGTTATTTTATAAACTCACTTTATTTCGACGTTGCTTTCCATCTTAGATCCACCATTTAATGTAATATCAATGATATTGCCTTCAACATTTTTGGTTTCTAAAAATTTAACCTTTTCAGGAACCATTATGACTATATCTACAGTTCCATCTGAATATTTTTTGATGGATTGATTTTTATGTAATTTGGATTCTTTCCTCTGGTTACTTTGATTAGCAAAACCATTTTGACGCTTTTCATCAGGACTTAACTCTAAGTTAGTTGTAGGTGATGTAAGTTGTCTATCAGTGCTAGTAGAATCTTTAACTATATTGGGTTTTATGATTTCAGATGATTCTTGAGAAAGATTCTCATTAATAGCCTCTTTGAGTTCACCTTTTATATTGGTTGTTAAAGAAACCGATTTGTTATAATCAATAAAATTAGAGTCTAATTCTATTTGATTGTCTGTGAAAGTGTCTATATGAGTATAAGGAAGTTTTTGCAAAAAGAATTCCTTCAGACTTTCTCTTTTTGTTTGAAGAGCAAGTGATTTTGCCTCATGATGTTTTTTCTCTTCTTGCAACTTTTGATCTTTTATATCTTGTTCATCATGATTTGAATTTACCGGTGAATTCTCTATAACGGGTTGTAAATTTTGATCATTAGTTTTTTCATTAATCGACATCTCAATAATTGATTCATTACTATAGTTGTCACTGGTAGAGGATGTATGCTTAGAACCAATTTGTTCAAATATTTGATTGACTTCGGAAGTATCTAATTGAAGGGTTGAAATTATCTTATCTCCAGGCGTAATGGTTTGGACATTATGATCAATGTCATTGCTCTTTATGTTTTCCTGATCTTCTCTATCAAAAGTCTGGTTAGTGTCTGTTATATTTTTTGTAGTATTATTTGCGGAATAATCCGTAGTATCATGGTGACCTTTTATAGAAGTGTTCGAGTTTTTATGGGAGGTATTTTCTAGTTTATTCTTTTTTGCGTTTTCTTCTTCCAATTTTCGTACTAGTAAAAGTTCGCGCATTGTACTTTATACTTTTAATTGTTTAAAAAAATATGTATATATATATATAAATATATATTTATATATAATACAAGACGAAGGAAGTTCTCGGTAGGAAAAACCGAAGAAAAAGTGAAAGTAGAATACAATGAAAAACTATACCTTAATGAATGTTTGTTATTCCGATGTAATATTTTTATAATAATTATTGCGACGTTATTAATGCGTATCTTAACCTTGATACTGAAAGAAGCGTTATTGTGCGTATGAAAAAATGATGATAATAATGATGATAATAATATTGTTTATAAAGACGAATATTGGTATAAAGTTTTTTTTTTTTTTTTTTTATAAATCAACCGAGTTTACATAATAAGTATAAAAGTGGAATGGTCATATATATATAGTACATTAAACAAAAAGCGAAGTGAAAAAAAATTTAGCTTATAAAAACGAAACTATGTTATAACGTTTATGATTTTGTACTGTAATAATGAATTAATAATACAGACCAATAAAAAATATACAATAGTACAAAAAAAAATATATATATATAAAAATACAAGAATCAAATATAAACTAATTTCTTTGGTTTTCGAAGAGGGGTTTATTCAATGCAAAATGTCGAGAGTTTTTGGGGATAAATATTGTCATACTTTAATTGTTATGATTACTTATTTTGACTATATTAGTATGATATTATTGAATTTAGGGGACCTTACAAAAATTTAATAAAAAATAATATAGTTACACTAATAAATTTGAAATCTACATCATTTTTAATCACTAATTTTTTTCAAATATGTATATTTCTTTGATAAAAATATTTTGCTTGTCAAGTAAGTAGAAAGTAGTTATTCTTTTTCTAAATAAAAGTTAGAATCAGCAAGAATAGGATCCCATTCTAAGATATCAGAATTTTCCAAATTAGTAAAAGAATCTTCAAGATGAAGTCCTTGACAATATAATAATTCAATATCCAAATGTTCAAATTCAGCTGAATCAATAAAAATCTCGGTATCATCATCTTGTATCCTGTTTTGATAAATATTATCAACAAGTACTTCCTCTAATTCCCCTTCCAACCTTTCTATTAATCTTTCATCAAGTTTATTAATCATATAAAAAAATTTATTCCATTTCTCTTCATAATTATTATAGTAATTCCTAAAATATCCAACAACATTCAAATAAGAATTAGGTTTCATTATTTGAATGTTATTAGCAATGACATCAATATTTTTATCATTTACATCTTTTAGTAATTTATAATAATGATTAGACAATTCCAATAAACACAACTCCCCACTTATAACATAATCCAAAGCGTTGAATGTATTTAGATTAAATTCAAATGCATTCATATCAAAAATTAATCGTGTTTTGAAAATTTCATATTCCGTTGCTGTACATCCAAATATTTTATCAAGACTATCTCCAAATATCGTTACTAAATGATTAAATAAAATTTATAAATTTATAAATAAATGAACAGAATATACATTTTATTCTTACCTCTATATAGATAATCATTAATAGAAACCATTATACAAATTCGATATCGATAAGATATTTCGGTATGCTTGTAGATGACATGACAACGAAAACACCTTAATGAATATCGATCCTCAACTTGTAATTTGTTTTTTTTGTTCTCTTGATGTCCCTGATTCTCATCATTGTTGTTATTAACATTACTTGGCTCGGTTAATAGTTTTGATATTCTTTTCTCATATGGTAATTTTAATTTCCTCCCACAATAATCACAGGTAGGGTATATGACTTCTTGTTGCCGTATCACATTTATAATAGGGCAGCTTATATATTTTGATGAAGCCATAAGAAAAAGAGAGTTATTTACAAAAACGCGAATGATAAAATTGATCAATTTTTATTTATCATCCAATAGAAACTAAAACCCGTCGGTCACGTGATATAATATAATTTTCAGAACTTTATTATTTAAATAATATATACACAGTACATCATTATAAATAAAGAAAATCAGCAATTAAAATCTATATTTATTATTCTTATCTACCATCTTCCTCCCCCACGCTTACCGAAATATCCTCTACGTCTTATTGGAGGTGGTGCGTTTGAAGCAGCCGCAGAACTTGAAGAAGCTGAAGAAGCTGTGGTGGTGGTAGCATTATTGATGGTATTATTGTTGTTGTTAGGGGTAATGTTAGATTCAGCTGATTGGTTTTGTGGTTTTGTCAATATTTGAATCTGTATTGGTTGTTTAACATCAGTGCTGTGTTTTTTATTTCGACGACGATAACTTGATGATGGATTATTCATAATTGAAGTACTAGTGACTGCCGTATTAAATGTGCTCGAAAATGTTTTAGATACAGCATCTTTATCATCTCTTTTAGATATTTCCTTCTGTATATCTTTTTGATCTGTTACTCTAGATTCATTGATTTCTATCTCTTTGTCAATCGTTTCTTTTGAATTAATTTCTATAGTATCTAATTCCTTTTTTGTCAATGAAGGCTGGATGAATTGACGAATTTGTTCCTTTTGTCGTTGTTGAATCGTAATTTTAACAGGTGCTCTCCTAGTTTCCTTTTCTTTTTCTTCGATTTGTGGTCGGGGAACAATAGTAATAATGGGAGGTTCTGACATACTAGATTCTGAAGCTTGAGATTTTCTCTCTCTTTCTCTATATTTTTGTCTTTCTCTTTCCGGTTTCTTTTCACGTCTTCTATCACGTTCTCTATCACGATCTCTTTCCCGATGATTCTCTTTTTCTCTAGCTTTCTCCCTTGATTTTTCGATATCTATCTCCTCGAATTCCTTTAATTTTTCCTTTTCAAAATATTTGTTATTATTTTCTTCTTCATTCTTCTTATCTTTCTCTTTACCCCTGTCCTTCTCTCTTCTTTCCCTATCCCTTTCTCTCTTTCTGCGTTCCTTTTTGGTAGGTTTACCTGTGTTTTGAAAAGATTGATTAGCTTCATTAGCGTGCACCGCTCGTGAATGTTGTGATTGTTTTGCAGCCTTCGAACTAATTCCTTTTGCAGGTGAGCCTGGTGGTGATAGAATAGCTATTTGAACCTGTTTTGATGGTTGAGATTTAGACTTTGCAGCAGACTTTAAAGCGCGTAAATGTTCAAGAAGTGGAGTAGTTTTTGGTTTTTCAACAGCATTTGCTGCAATGATTGCTGTTCAAATCATAATAGTATTAAAATAATTTTATTACAACAAAAAAAAAAGATAACAATAATTAATTAATACTTGATTTAAAGCTCACCAGCAGCATTTGCCAAACGGGCCTCCAATCTTTCCAATTGCGTTGCTCCACTTTCTAATAATATACCTGGCTCTTTCATTGTGGCATGTTGGGTTTCCTCCACTTTCAAAGATTCAAGAAACGCGATATAATCGGGATCTGCGTTAACAAGAATAATTAATGATCATTTCTTTTCTTGCTGTAATCAAATTTATAAATACCAGTTTCAATCGTTCCTTGTCTAGGATCTGGTTTCTTGTGTTCTTTTGGTAGTTTTTGATAAATTGCGAACTCTACAACGGCTCTATTTTCATTGCCTATATTTAAAAGAAAAAAAAAATTATAATAATATCCAAAAAAATTTATATATCATAGATTATTTTAACAAGAAATACCTTGACCGTCAATAAACAAATGATTATCATAACCACGATGAAATTCTAAAACCTGTTCAACAGTCTTGAAGTGTAGATAGGCACGAGAAAATATACTTTCCTTATTCTTACTACAATATTAAATTTGCGTTTAGGTTTGTTTTTCAAGTTTACACCAAACATAAGTATAGGCTTACCTCTTGCTAATACGACCTTGGTGGAAGCGTGACCAATTACAAGTTTCTTTGTTTACCCATTGTTCAACGGATGCAAAGAACGATTGCTCAAGAATAAGTGGTGGTAACCGACGTACAACGACTTTTGTCTTTGCTGCATTTTTGCTGCGACTTGATCGTTTAGATTTAGATTTCTTTGATTTTACTAAAGTTTTGGATATTTTACTCGACATTATTTTTTTAAGGTTGTCATTCATATTGACATTTAATAAATTTATTAATCACAAATTTATATCACGTGATGCAAAGATTCCAAATTATATATATCTTTATCGTATATGTAAATAAAGATCTATAGATTTTTCTGCGCCTATTATCTTGTCTTTTTACCAAATAAAAATTACACAATTATTATCTCATAATGAAACTGTTACAGGTAAAGATACATTCTATCTAGCTATATTAGAACTGTTCTAGTTTTCAGACTTCTTAAAAATGGCGTAAATTGAGGTAACTCATAGTATAACTCTGAGTATATTTATCGTAGTATAGATTTCTGAGGGTATATTATTCCTGATTGGGAAATTATTTTTATTTTTGCACGTCTGATGGTCTGATGTCGATTATTTGGCTTAAAGTATGTGGCGCATTTTTCAAAAAAAAGCGTTTGTCAAATTATCAACCCGCCGCTTTAAGTAAACTTAAATTCGTAGAAAATTGTCTGTGGCACAAGTGCCAATCATCATGTCGATCATTTCCAAAAAAGTATTTTTTCAGCATAACCTGTATGACAAAAAATAATTGATTTCTTATTATATTTTGGTATGAAAATTCCGACAGAGATCATCAACAAATACTCTCTTATTAGGAAAAAATATATCTAATCGATATGTATTAATTTTACTAACTAATCTATGATAGCTACCCTCCTATCCTGAATTTTTTATTTATATTACGATGAACGTGTTTGGATATATAACATGGAAAAAATTTTTTTTAAAGCAAGATCAATCAACCAGATAATTGCAAAGATTTTGAAAGATCAAAATATTACAATGAATATAATTTTTGCAATTATATCTGATTGATTTGAGTCAATTAAACAATTAAAATTTTACTATTTATTTTATTTTATTATGAAAAAATATGAGTATATTGTTATTTAGTTATGACTAAATTGTTGTCTAGTTATATATTTTTGAAACTCTGTGGTCTTTTTATGAGCAAGTTGATATCCATTTATTTTTCAATGCTCTATGACTAAAGATGATACAGCAATTGATTTCAAATTTACAAAATGTTGCAACATAAGCTAAAATTAGTTGCAACATATGTTGCAACATTATAAGTTGTAACATATATAGGTTAAAACTAATTGCAACGTAAATTGCAATATTAAAAGTTGCAACATATTAATTACAGTTCCCATCTTTATCTATGACCATTTAATTGGTAAGTAGAATGAAGGCTTGTTTTCCTATTCTTAAGCCTTTTGACAATTGTAAAGAAATGAGGTTTGTTTTCCCACTCTATGATCCTTTGGTTGCCATGTTTGAGATTAAGGATGCAATTCTTTTTGCTAGCCTTTTAAGATGTCAAGATAATATTAAAAAAAGGCCTCAGGTGGTGCAGTAAATCTGTGATTAATTTTGGCTGACATTATGCTATAATTCTGGCTAATCTTTAGGTTATGTGATTTTAGGTTTCAGTTTAGCACTATGATAGTATTATGGTAGTGTTATGGAACTATTGTGAAACTGATAGGAAACTGTCATAGAACTGGCAGGATGTCAAAGAAGTTCTATTAGTTTGCTAGTTTTATGCTAGTTTGGATGCTAAATTATTATATTTAAACTTCTGGTTAAATTTATAGAATGGTGTTAGCCAAAATTATACTGCGTCTTACTGTGTCATAGTTATGTAATACTGTTTTAGTGCTGGATTAACCTCACATAGTTGTTTCCCTCTCAATTGCCATTTCTTGATTGCTGGATGAGGCATAAAGTGCTGAATTTGCAATCCATCTATTTGCTAAAGATGTGTTGCAATCTATTCACTTACTTTTTGATTGCTAGTAAGGCATATGCAAAGTGTTAATATTGTGTTATTCTTGCAATCCTGCCTTTTATGACCTATTTAATTGCCAGTGATGAGATAGAAATGCTGAATTTGTGCACATTCTTGCAATTTTGCCTTGTATAACCTTTTTGATTGCTGAGTGAAACACATGTGAAGTGTCGAATTAGTTTAGGCTATATTATTTTTATACTTTTTTTCATGTATTCTCCAAAATCTTCTGCTTTTTCAATCTCTTTTCTGCTTATTAGCAGTAGGTTACTCAAGTGAAATTTCTCTTTTCTTTCCTATATATAATTCTGCTTGAGTGAATTACAGTTATTTTTCTTTCTAACTTTTATTCCTGCATAATTACTATCTTATCTGAGTGTCTTTAGCTGATTACTTTAGAATATCACTACATTGGTAAGCTACTCAAGTATAATTTAGTATAATTTAGTATATTTATTGTATACTCTTGCTAATAATTGGTTTGAAGACAGCTTTACATATTTTTTTATTTTATTTTCGAATCATACATATTATATTTTTTATTTTGAACTTTACAAATTTCTCTATTATTTTATATATCCAGATCAATTCTTCTAACTAAACTAGTTTGCAGCTGGTAATCACTACTGCAAATTTCTGTATGTGATATTCTATTACGTCTATAAATGCAAGACAAAATTGACACTAAAGCTCTGGCATATGCCCAAAGACGTAAAGAAAGATACTTGGTGAAAATTAGTCCTAATATATATTTATGGTCATATAAAAAGGATCATCAATGGGAAGCATCATATAAAAATATGAAACAGAATTATAGATAGTACAACATTTGCCTAAATATATCAGAAAGAACATGCAGGTATATATTTGAGGATTTATTACATAAAAAATTTCCTCTCCAAAAACCTAAAATCTTGGAGGGATTACATCTAGATAGATATAATGAAGAGCTAGGCTTGGCCTTCAAATATAGTGGCATCTAATATTACCAAATCGTCCCTTTTTTCATTCGCAAAGGTAGATAAATATAGAAGCACAAATCTGACGTAATTGGGAAAAGAGGCGTTATATTATTGAAAAGGAATAATTCTTATTACAATCTCCTACTGCATAATAGACTTAGAAACTTTTATAAGGAATGCCTTGTACATGTTTAGTTATCTTCTAATACCTACCTAAGAAGCAATATAGACTCTTTTTAATATGCATTAACTGCTCTCTTACGAAGAAATATTAGGGTTCTAATTCATCTAAATAATATAAAATAAGCATTGGGATTCTTTCTGACAACAATCCTCTGAATCTTATGCAGGCTAGAAGATTATATTGAATCTGTTATTCTACATCATTTGAAAGGATCATTTTTCCACTCTTTAGGAGCGAGCAAAAATCAGATAGTAGTATCTTTTAATAGTTATGATTCATCAATACTTATCAGGTGATTATATTTTACTGATAGTTTGAAATATATTCGCTTAAGTTTTATAACATTATTAGGACTCATCCTAATTAGCCAGGTTGGAGTATCATTCATATTATCAACAATTCTTCTTGCAAATTATTTACATTCTCTACAGTATTTGCCAGTAGATAAGAGAAACTTTACCACATATTGGTTTTTAAAAGCTCTTAATTCGAATAATTCAGCATAACAGTTAACTATAGCCAAGCTTGTATGTCTAAAACATACTATAATTCTTCAGATTTCAACGCTGTATTTATCCATTAATAAAGTCACATATCCCATAAACTTAGTGTCTTTATCACATTGTAATTTTTGAGACAAGTTGAGAGGCTTATTGGGATTACTATATATATTTTTAAATGCTTTTGCGACTTCTTCACTACTTTTTGATATTAAAAAAATAAAATCTTTATATCTAATCGTGCAATCTATAACCAATAGTACATAGTAAAATATTGTGTCATTATTTAGTAAATTTATATTACATCTTTATTATATGGGAGCTTTGCAATAGAAAGGAAGGAAACTCTAAAAAAATTAAAATTTTACTTTCTAAGCTAATTATGATTTTTTTTGTAAAATAAGTCCAAATTTAACATTAACTTAAAAAAAAATTTTTTTAGAGTTTTCTCTCTTTCTATTGCAAAGCTCCTATATAGTATTTTAATCAAATCATATTAGTGTATGATATTTGGCTTTGTGATTTTAGAGTAACTAGCATAAGGTATATGCTTTGATAAAGGATGAAAAATTTGATATATTGCCTGTAATAGATTGTCTTAAGATATTTTAATATATTAATATATTAAAATGTTCTAAGACAATCTACTTATACTAGACTAATATGTCATAGGACATTATAATCTATTAATTAATATATCCTAGGAGATTATAATCTATTAATTAATATGTCCTAAAAATAGGTCTACTTTCACTCTCTGTAACTTATTGGTCAGTAAATATAGATGAGATGCACGTCTATTTGGTTGCTTTTCAAAATACTTAAAGTAGTGTAAAAAAAGAGGCAACAGGTAACGCAGTATATTTGCAATTAATTTTAGTTAACACTATGCTATAATTTTAGCTAATCTTTTAAGTATGTGATTTAAAAATCCAGCTTGGTGTCATGGCAATGACTTAATAGTATTCTGAAACTACTGTGAAGCTGTCATGAAACTGGCAGGAGCTAGAGAGATTCTATTTGTTTGCCAGTTTCATGCCACTTCTATGCCAACTTAAATGCTAAGTTATTATACCCAAAGCTCTAGCCAAAATTGTGAAATACATAGGTCGAACGCTAATCAATCAGGTATCTTTCCAATTGATTACTATTTTTTGATCAGCAATCAATAGATAGAAATCAGTAGATACTACAATCAGATATGAATCAGTTAATACCTGATTTATTAGATAGAATTACATAAATTGGATTCCATTCTGATTTTATACTTATTTTAATAAATTGTAAACTATAAGTTCAATAATAACAAATCATATTCAATTAACAATTAGTTAAATATCTAATTAATGATTATTATTTAATTAGAATTTATCGATTAGTAACAATTTGTTAAAAAGTTTAATTAACAATATTGTTAACAATCAATAATAAAATTCATTAACAATTCATTATGATTAGTGTTTTGCAAAAAATCTGATTCAATTCGAATCTGATCTGGATCTAACAAATCGGATCGAATC